TCAAGTGGCAAACAAACTCTGCTGCCTGGTAGGATGCATGCCCGGTGGTCATTCACAGGCCGCGAAAGCAGATCATGCTGCCCCCAAACATATTAAGAACTGAAACGTAAAAAACTTCTCACCTCACAGAGGAGCGACGGCGCTTCTGCAATGGAACATTTGGGCGCCGTCAGCGTCAGTGCACAGAAGCCGTCTTGCACAGACTGGTAAACGTTGAAATGAGGCTTGGCAGTCAAATTGGGAACCGCCGACACCACCTTGCCACGGGTGCCAAGGCATGCAAGAGGTGTGGCTCTCCCCTCTCCATGCCCCCTCCCCCCGGTGTGTCCACCATCCTCCACGAGGGGGAATGGGCAGGGGGCATGCAAGTTTCCCAGAGCACCTTCGCGGCCCGCAAAGTCTCCAAATCCAGTCTCCGACGCCTCCTAGATGCCCGAGCCATCCCCTCCAAGACAGTTTCGCACTGGCTCCAACACGCCGAGGAGGCCGCGAGGAGGAACCAAGAAGCTCCATGAGACACCAAGACAAACCAGAGAAGTCCCAGGAAAGATGCCAAACACCCAAAACAATTGAAAACCGAGCCGACGACGACGGAATGATTGCTTTCGTCGCCTGGACGCCTCGAGGAACATCCAAGAGGCACCGCGTCGACCCCCAAATGGCTCAAGACGCCGCCAGCATAGCCCCAGGATGGCCCCAGGAACCCGCAGCTGGTCTGCACGATGACTCCAGATAGCTCCGGGACGGTCTCCCCTCTCCTTCTCCTCTCCCCCCCCTCCCGTTCCCGCCGTCCCTCCTGCCCCTCCCGTTTGCGCCCTCCCTCCCTCCCTCCCCCCTCTCCTCCTCCTCCTCCGGCCTCTTTCCCTGGCCTAAGGTAGCTCTAGCTCCAATATTGCTCCTTGAGGCTCCCAAGGGGCACTGAGGCTCGCCAAAATAGGCGCAAGACCCCCCCGAAAGGGCGCTGTTCCCAAGATGGCTCCGAGGCCTGGACTCAGCTGGCCTCCAAGGTAGCCCCAGGCATGCTCCAGGGCAGGCCAAGATCATCCCCGACTGACACCATCGCGAGCCCGCTCTGCAGGTGGATCGACGGAATGGCGCAGGTCTCTGGAATCCGCCCGCCCACAGGGCTGATGGGCGTGCGGAATTTTGCTTCGACAAGCAGCTTTCGGGGCGACTGCCCCGCTTGGATTCCCCCTGAAGGCTCTGCCATTCCGTCGCCCACTGCGCTCCTGGCCCGCTTCGGGGCTCAATGCGGCTCTAAGACGGCGTCCAAAACGAGCTCGACTTCCGGATCGTTCCCCCCACGCTGTCGGAGCCGCTGTCCGCCCCGTGCTGGTCCCTCTTGGGCCCTGTCTTAACCTCGAAGATCGGCCCATCGGTCCCAATATGGCATCTTGAGTCCAACTCCGCCGACAAGTCGGAAACGATTCATTGTTTATATGCGTCTGTCCGCTGGCTCCTTCGTGGCCAACAGGCTGGGAGGCGTAGGCTGTCCGGTTCTCTGCACCAGTTCCGGTTCCCAGGCTGCAGTTGAAGATGTTTTTTAGTTTCGAGCTCCACGGCTGACGTGTTTGAAGTCAGCGCGAGGGGGGCAGAAAGGAATCGCTCTCCATTGCAGAATCACGCACTCTGAATTCCTGCAGGAGGCACCGGGACACCTACAGTTGCACCAGGCTCGCGGTCCCGAGGCCACAACCCATTGTACATGACTTCAAAATGGCGATCCCGAGGCCATACTCCTGGGTAAATTACACGAAAGTCGCGCTCCCGACGCCAGCACCCCCTAGAAAACTACACCCGGCTCGCGCGTCCGAAGCCACCGACCATCGTAAATTGCACCAGGCTCGTGCTCCTCAAGCCACAGTTCCTCGCACGTTGCGCCAGATCGGCGATCCCCAAGCCACAGTCCCCCACATCTTGCTCCAACGTCGCGCTCCCGAGCCCACAATCCTCAGTACCCCAGATTTCGTAATAAAGGGAGGGGAGTCTCATTTCGGGGGGGGGATCTCTTCCAGGCTATCTTAGAGGGCCTGGGGGGTCTGAGGACGATGTTTTGGAGGGTTCTCCCACGGGGGAGGTCTGAAATGGCTTGTCTTGGAGGGTCCAGACCCCCTCCCTTTGATTACGAAATCTGGAGTAAATTACACAAGACTCGCGCTCTCCGAACCACCCACCCGCCCTCGGACATCACGCCAGACTTGCGCTCCCGAGGAACAATCCCATCGTGCAGTGTGCCTCTGCGCGCGGCCAAGTCCAGCCTCCGGGTGGCCGCGGCCCGCCTGGACGCACCAGAACGGGTGCGTGAAAATTGGTGCGATGCCCAACAGCTCCTGTTCTCCAAAACCAAGCAGCGGCCACGAAATTCTCCATGATCAACTACAACTACTTCGGGCTTCCGTAAAAGAAAAATAATACGCTCTGGAGCATTTATAACAGAAAGGAACAACGTTAAATGATCTCTCCAACTCCCGGCTTCAGCACATGACACATATGAACTTCAAAATCGGAAAATACCATCAACAAATCCTGCCAAAACTCCCTGCCGCCGTCTGTCTCAAATGGGCAACGCCCGCGGCGGCGCGGACAGCGGGTCCATTGCAGAACTGAGCAAGAACTGCTGTTGGGCATCGTTCCCACTCTTTCCGTATCCACTTCGTTCGTGCCGAATCCAGGGGGGAGAGGACCCTCGCAGAACAGGCTCCCCTGGGCCGGATGGGCTGCGGACGAGGCAGCAGGAGGAAAGAGCACGGGGAGGGAAGGAGGAGGAGGAGGAGGAGGAGGAGGAGGAGGAGGAAGAACAGAAGGTGGGGGAGCAGGAGGAGGAGGAGCAGGAGGAGGAAAGAGGAGAAAGAGGAAGAGGAGGAAGACGAGGAGGAGCAGGGATGGAAGGATGATGAGGAGAAGGAGCATGAAGAGGAAAGAGTACGTAGAAGGAAGATGGGGAGGAGCAGGGAGGGAAGGAGGAGGAAGAGGAGGAGGAGCAGGAGAAGGAAAGAGCACGGGGAGGGAAGGAAGAGGAGCAGGAGGCGGAACAACATAGGGAGGGAGGTTGGCGGCGCGCAGGGGGACGGTGGGGGGAAGGGGGAAAGCTTCCTAGCAGAAACATTATGCTTCTTAGAAGGCGCCGGCCTTACATCTACAGATGAGGCCCGCGCCTTCTGAGCAGCAGCCTCACATCACGTCGCGCCTGCGCGCCAAGCAAGATGCACCGCCCAAACCTCATCGCGAGGGCCACCAACGCCAAGCTTAAAAAGATGGGCGCACAGATGTGAAGAACGACGAGGGAAGGGAAATCCCACCAGCCCTCTGGGCGTCGGTGGTTTAGAGCGCTTCCTCTTCCACCCCTCCTTCTTCCCCTTCGGGGAGGGGTTTACCCCTCCCCCTACCCCCTCCCCACTGACCTGGACAGGGGGGGCCGCGGGTAGTTAGAGCGTCCAAGAACGACCCCTGGCAGGGCTAAAATTCGACACCCCTCACGAGGATCGTGTCCCCCAGGGGGGCGACGCTAAAAAATGCTTCCCCCTTCTGCGATCGATGTCCTCCAAGAGGGCCTCAAGAGACGTCTCGGACTCTCCTCTTGCGCCCTGCGCGCGGGTGGGCGGAGCGCCGCCCGCCCGCCCGCGAGGCCCAAGAGCCCACCAAAACGTTCGAAGATACCTCCAAGACGCCACCAGGGAAGAGGAAGAGGCGGAGGAGGAGGAGGAGGAGGAGGAGGAGGAGGAGGAGGAGGAGAAGGCGGAGGAGAAGGAGGAAGAGGGGGAGGAGAACAGCTGCCGATCATCGGCGCTCTTCGTTCGAGTGCCTGGTGTAGGATGGGCTGGTGGGGATACGCGAAGCGTCAAGAATTGCACTGTGAGTGTACAGTCGTCGTGCTACCAGAGGGAACGCCAAAGATGAAGGGGCCCCAGGACACACAAATAAATACACACAAACAAAGGGATTCCCCATATTTTCCTATATTTTCTGGGTTTTTGTCTTCCCCCCCACTTCCCATAGTTTCCAATATTTTCTGGGGAATCGACGACAAATTGTGTCTGTGTGTTTTTTTCCCTCCTGAAGAGAAGGAGCGAATGGGCTGTCCCGGCCACGGTGCGCCTCGGCCGAGAAGAGGTCTCCCGACCCAGATCTTGGGAGCGGCCCGAAAACCGGAGCACCACCCGAGCCCCAAAATGGTCCTCATTTCTCAAGGGGCCCTGAGACACACAAAGAAGTACACACAAATAAAAAGATTCCCCATATGTTCATATATTTTCTGGGTTTCTGTCTTCCCCCCCACCTCCCATATTTTCCCATATTTTCTGGGGAATCGAGGGTTAATTGTGTCGGTGTGTTTTTTCCTCTCCTGAATTTCAGCGCCATTGACTGTCGTGGAGATAAAGGTGCCTCGCGAGTGCAGCCTGCCGGCAGATGCCTCTTCCTCCTCGCGGGGCGGATCCCAATGCCGCCGCTTGCTTTCCCCCCCCCCCTCCCCCCCCGAGAGCAGCGAGGCCCGTCGCGGGGAGAAAAAGCTCGCCCTCTGCCTCGCCGCCTCGTGGGGGCCACCTCCAGCGTCTGCCACGGATCCCGGCTGGCTCGGCCTGCAGCCGACCTCCTCCTCCTCCCCTTCTCTCTGCTGCTGCTCCTGCTCCTGCTCTTGCTCCTCCTCCTCTTTCTCTCCCTCCTCCCTCCCTCCCTCCCCCCTCTCTGCTCCCGCTCCTGCTCCTCATCATCCTTCTCTCCCTCCTCCCTCACCGCTGATCCTTCTCCTTTTGGGCACCCGAGATGGGTACGGAAAGAATGGGTACAATGCCCAACAGCAGATGTTGTCCCAAACCAACAGCGGCCGCTGTTGGGCAGGCGGCCTCCTGTCTCAGGTGGACACAGGCCGCGACGGCGTGGACAGCGAGTCCTGATGAAAATGAACAAGAACTGCTGTTGGGCATTGTACCCATTCTTTCCGTGCCCATCTCGATCGTGCAGATCCTTCTCCTCACTCCTCCTCCTCGAGGGCCGGCTGCGTCCTGAGGGAAGCGGTCAGGTGGGGCGCGTCGTCGTCGTCCAGGGTCACCTGACGAGGGTTAAGTCGGGCGTGTCCCCCTATAGGGGGATTTCAATTAACAAAAATAATAATCAAAACAACTATTAAAAAACCTCCAAAATGGTAAACAAAATACTCAACAAATAGTCCCCCTACAGGGGGATTGTCAACGAAAAATAAAAAAATACCCAACCAATTCTCCAAAATGGTCAAAAAATATTCAAACTATAGTACCCAGACTATTTTTTTACTATTTTTGAATATTCCCCCTGTAGAGGGGCAGGCCCGACCTAAGACGAGGGGCGGGCAGAAGCGGCAGGAGAGGGCACGAGACCCTTGCCTGCACGCTGCTCGGGCAGTCCTCTTCTCCCGCAGACCTCGCCGCCTCCGAGCCCCGAGGGCTCACGAGCAGCGCCCGCGGTGAAACTCTGCCCCCGGGGACAGTCTTCTTCTCTCGCAGACCTCGCCGTCTTCGTCTTCTTCTTCTTATTATTATTAGTATTCTTATTATTATTTGTATTATTATTATTAGTATTATTCTTATTCTTATTATTATTAGAATTATTATTAGTATTAGTATTAGTATTATTATTAATAATATTATTATCATTATTATTATTATTATACTTATTCTTCTTCTTCTTCTTCTTCTTCTTCTCCCGCAGACCTCGTCACCTCCGAGCCCCGAGGGCTCACGAGCAGCGCCCGCGATGAAACTCTGCCCCCCGGGGGCAGGGGTCGGGAGCTCTGGGAGCCCACGGACTGAAGCATCAGCGCGCCGGAGGCCCCGGTCCCCGCCCTCGCTGCTGAGAGGCGCCCAGAGGACAGGTTCGTCTGCGCGTCCGCGTCGCGCCTGCATTAATGACGAACGAACAACACGCACCCATACCCATAGCGAGGTCGTTGGGAGGAGGACTGGCTATGGGTATGGGTGCGGGTTGTCGGACCCTGGGGAACGCTCCCGTTCGAGCGGGGACCCCCATCCGACAACACGCACCCATAGCCCTCTCCGATCCCCCTATGGGTATGGGTGTGTGTTGTTGGTTAGTCAATTAACGGACGATGCTGCCGGGATGTCCCACAAGGGAGCAAGGGAGGGCGCCGAATGGACCTCTGGGCGAGAGCCCAGGTTCGGGGGACATAAGAATCCTGCCTGCCGGGGTGAGGGGGAAAAAGAAGGCCGGAGGAGGAGGAGGAGGAGGAGGGGGAGGGGGAGGAGGAGGAGGAGGAGGAGGAGGAGGAGGAGGACGGAAGTCCCACGATCACGTAGCGGTGTCGCCGAAAACAGGGCAGAGACTCCCAGCGCTATAGGGCCGGCCTTGATGCTGGAACGCTCTGGGCGTGGGGACGAGATGCAAGCTCTGTCTTGTTCAAACGGTGTCCCACTCTTCCACGTCATCCCCTGGCCAGCGGGGTTGTCTGGTCTGTCGAAGGGTCCCAGGGACACGCGAATTAATACACACAGATCATAAGATTTCCCATAGTTTCAAACACTGCCTGGATTTTCGTCTTCCCTCCACCTCCCATATGTTCCAATATTTTCCATGGAATCGACGAGTAATTGTGTCATGGATTCCCCCCTGATATGTTCCCTTTACACCTATAGAAAAAACCCAAGCTCGAGTTCACTGCCACATCCTCTCGCAAAGTGGCACAGAGACTCGCGGTGCCCCCTTTCCTGAGGCTGGGGTTTGACCACCGCTGCGCGACACAGGCCAGCGAGGGGGGTGTCGAGCTGTACCCCTGGCCCGATGGGGGCTCACCACCTGGAGCTCACCACACCATGCACGCGAAGAGTGGCATGGAGACCCGCGGTGGCCCTTTCCTGTTGGTGGAGTTGGGCCACCGGGGCGACGCGGGCCAGGGGGGTGTTCGAGCTCACTAATTCCCCCATGCACGCGCACAGTGAGATGGTCCTTTCACATCATCAGGTCTAGCTTTTTTTGCTGCCAGCTCGGGGCCCTGTGGCTTTTTGCCCGTCTGTTGGGGGATCTGGGTCTCCCACTCTTCGGGCCCCATGGTCTTCCAGAACAGGCAGAAGAAGAAAGAACTCATAAAAATATGCCTTCGGAGGTCCGCACGGACTTCTGGGATCTGCGCTCGGCCCCCCCCCCCCTGGCGGCGCCTCGGGCGCTGTCCCAGGCGCCAGGAGGCGCTACCAGGGGGGGCCCATCGCCTGTCCACGCGGGCCTCGGAAAGTTCATATCGATGCCGCGACGTCGTCGAGCGTCCTGGACAGCGCGCACTTCGAAAGCTCCCATGCGAGGTGACTACCAGCCAGCCGCATAGCCTTTTTTGAGGTCCCCCAGCTTCTGGATTTATGCTGCTCCCATCGTACAAGGACAATCCCAGAAATTATTGCGAGCACCCAGACAATATCGAAACAGTGTCGAACGAATATCGCCTCCCAGAACCCGACACGTGAAAACCCTCCGGCTTCGGTGCGGTCTTGGTGGTGACTCAGGCTAACGTATGCTCGAACATCATAATTTTGGAGGCCAGAATCGTCCGGTTTGGCCCCAAAAAACTTAAGTGTACAGTCAAAAACCCTAATAAGGACGCGCGGTAAGGACGCAAGACCCTTGGAAGCCGAAGTTGGATTGTTTGGGGCGGCGGACGACGAAAACCTCAAGGACGCAAGAGCAAGGAAGAGCAAGGACGCAGGGGTACCTTGAGCAAAGTCGCGCGTCCTTATTAGGGTGTTTGACTGTATGCCGCTTGCTTTTGCCTCGCTGCGCGGTGGTCCCACAAGAGCGGCGAGGCCGCGACACGCACAAGCACCCTCGGGATGCCGCCTAGCGTCCCGCATCCGTGCGGGGTCTTCGAGGGCTCAAGGGGAGCGCACGGCTGGAGCTGCTCGTCTCCCTTCTCCTCCTCCTCCTCCACTTCTTCCTCCCCCTCCTCCCCCTCCGCCTCCTCCTCCTCCTCCTCGCCCTCCAATCTCCCATCCCCCTCCCCCTCCCCCTTCTCCTCCTCCTCCTCCTCATCATCATCATCATCAGCATCAGCATCAGCATCAGCATAAGCCTCAACCTCATTTAAAATATTACTATCATCATCATCATCATCATCATCATCATCATCATCATCATCATCATCATCATCATCATCATCATCATGATCATGATCATGATCATCATCATCATCATCATCATCATCATCAGCATCAGCATCACCACCACCCTCATCATGATCATCCTCATCATCATGTTCTGCCTCCTCCTCGTCCTCCTCCTCCTCCTCATCATCATCATCATCAGCATCGTCATCATCACCATGACCATCATCAACAGCATCATCATCAGCATCAGCATCAACATCACCATCATTATCAGCATCACCAGCATCAGCATCATGATCATCATCATCAGCATCACCACCAGCATCATAATCATCAGCATCAGCATCATAGTCACCATCAGCATCATCATTATCATCATCATCATCATCATCAATATCATCATCGTCATCATCAGTATCATCATCATCAGCATCCTCATCGTCATCATCATCATCACCATCATCCACATCATCATAATCGTCCTCACCATTGTAATCCTCGTCCGCGTCCTCATCATCCTCGGCATCATCATCATGTCCTTCATCGTATTACTCTTCATCATCCACACCATCATGACCATCGTCATCGTCATCGTCGTCGTCATCAGCATAATACTCAACATCATCATCAACACAATCATCTGCATCATCATCTTATTCATCAGCGCCATGATCATCAGCATGATCATCATCATCGTCATCATCGTCGGATTCGTCATCGTCATCGGAATCGTCATCAGCATCAGCATCATCAGCATCATCAGCAGTAGCAGCAGCAGCAGACGCATCATCATCATCATCATCATCATCAGCATCCATCATCACCGTCATCATCATCCTCATCGTCTTAATCCTCATCCGCATCCTCATCATCCTCAGCATCATCATGATCATCATAATCATCAGCAGTATCAGTATCAGTATCAGCGTCCTCGTCACCATCATCATCATCATCATCATCATCATCATCATCATCAGCAGCAGCAGCAGCAGCATCACCCTAATCAGCATCATCACCCGCACCGCCATCATTATCATCAGCATCAGCATCCTCAGCGTCATCATCGTCGCATGTGGCATCGTCATCGTCATTGTCATCAGCATCGACATCAGCATCACCATCATCAGCAGCAACAGACGCATCATCATCATCATCAGCAGCAGCATCTCAATCAGCATCCATCATTATCAGCATGATGAACATCATCGTCATCATCAACATCATGATCAGCATCATCATCGGAAGCATCACAAACACCATCATCATCATCATCATCCTCAACATCATCATCATCCTCATCATCCTGATCATCATCATCATCAGCATCATCATCATCATCATCATCACCATAGACTCGTTCTCGTCCCACTTTGCGCATGTTCCGCCAACGGGGGCGTTCCACGATTGGAGACCTGGCGGGAACAGTAACAGCCGCAAGACTCAGCTGGGCGCAAGCGTCGGCAGCGCCGTCGCTCGTGGCTGCACGCCACTTGCACGTGAAGGCTGCCCCGCGTGTGCAAAACAATACTGTACTCTTCATGCTTTCGGCGTTCCGTGTTCACCTGTGCACCCTCAGTCGTGGCCCAATGTCTCCGGGTCGAGCTGTACAGTGGACGCCAGTCCACAAGAAACCTTCCACAAGGAACCCAAACCTGAGACCCAAGACGCCCATTGTTTTTGGGTGTGGGAACGTCACGCCTTCCACTGCAAAATCATCGGAACCCGAGAAACCCAGGGCACTCTGGAGGCAAGCAAGGTGCTTCTTGGCATGGGTCTCCTCTGTAGCTGCTCGCATTGCACCGCGCCACACGTCGGGCCTCTCGGTTCAGCATTTCCGGGGGAGCGGGGGGCGGCGAGGATCTCTCGATGTACCACGCGGTCTCACAGGAGCTGGGAGTCGCCGTCTCCGTGACAATGCATACCACTTGCAAGTGCGACCTGACAACCCCATACTTACTCTGAAAGCAGCTTGGGTGAAACAACGCGTTGCTGTCCTGTCCAGTGGCTGCGAACCGCCATCCCACCAGTGAGAGGCTGCTTGTCAAGAATGTCAAGAACCCCTGTTCTTGGCACCGTGAGGCTACTCGCGGGCCTCAGCTACATGCTTTCACAGGTGACTTTCCACGGGTCACAGATCATGCGCGGCCACCTGCCCGCTTCAAACTCCGACTGGAAGGTATAGCTCCAGGGCTTTCTCAAAGCATGGCAGTGACAGATGTGGGGGATGGATGGTTTTCCCCCCTCCGACAATTTCATCTCGGCCACTTGCTCGGGTTCGAACATGCTCTTGACGCAAAAATGTAGCCTACTGTTCGACAACTACGGGGCTCTCTTCCTGTGAGCTGGTCGCCCCTGAATCAAGTAATTAGTGCCTCAACCCGTCAGTCCCACCCTTGGCAAAACAAACACTTGTTCAATCTTGCAAGATGCCAGTCTCAAATAAATATGATGGTCGCCTCATCCCTAAATATTGGTGTAAGTACCCTTCAAGCGTGTAGCGTCCATTGGCAATGCTCCTCCTTCTCCTCAGCATGCTTGTACTCCTTCTCCTTCTCAGCCTCATCAGAATCCACCTCCTCCCTATGATGGTTGCACTCATTGTCCTCGTCCTCCTCCTGCTCCTCGTGCTCGTCGTCGTCATTATCCTCCTACTCCCAACTGTCAAGCCCATTCCCTCCCGCACCCACCCCCTCCATCCCGTCCAGCCCGGATCATCATTCCAGAAGCAAGGAAAGTCAGAGGCGGTGCACTGGCTGGCCAACAAATCAGAGATAAGCACATAAGAAAACACTGCATGATCCGAGAAATGTGAGCATATCTGCGAAAAGGTAAGGTTATGCAGTTCCGCTGCATGCGAAAGTGGGCAGGCAGTAGCAAAAAAACATAGAAATTTCCAGGAAAAAGGTCTCGAAGGCAACGCGGGGAGAGTTAGATCGGGCACGGAAAGGCGCTGGATTTCCTCTTCTCGCAACGGAGCACACACTTCAACACGTGACACCCTCGACCCAGCAATTGGCAACTTGAGATCGGCGTCATTGAGCCTCGACCCATCTATTGGCAACTCGAGATCAGCGTCGTTGAGCTATGGCCTTGGATTTGCGGCGTCAAACGAAAGAAAATACCCCCGGCGGAGAGGATGAACCGCAAAGCCAGCAAGTGTGTGATAACAAACTTCAATCACCTGCGACGTCATATTCCCGATCAGCAGCAAGATCTCGTCCGGCGTGCCCACCTGGGGCCCGAGCCAGAGGGGAGCCGTGCGCCTTCCACAAAGAAAACCGCATGGCGTCCAAGCAAACTCCTGCCCCTGACATCGTGGCGCGTGTCTGACCTTGTGAGATGCGTTTGCGTACAATCGCAACATATGGTAAGGATGCAAGGTAAGGATGCAAGACCCTTGGAAGTTCCAGGTGCGATTTTAGAGCTCGTTGGACGTCGAAATTGGCTCAGGATGGGCCGAAGGAAGAGGGATGCGAGGGTAGCCTTGATGAAGCAGAGCATCCTTACTATGGACTTTGACTTATGTCCCAGGCATGGTGCTTGGTCTGATGAGCTCGCAGGCTCAGACGGGCCCCTCCACCTTCTGGCCCACCCGATTACGATGGCGCTGCAATGAATGGTGGTGAGGTTGCAAGCCAAGACGAGCGCCCGCAACAAAAGAAACAGCCGAAAGCACATTCAATGGACCACAAAAACAGGAGGACGCTGTGGGAGTTGGGCTGGTCTTCCTCGTCGCTCTCGCCTAATGCTCTGAACCCTTTCTCGTCCTCATTCCCTCGCCTCCTCCTCCTCCTCCTCCTCCTCATTGGCACCCTCCCCCTCGTCCTCTTCCTCATGTTCCTCCTCCCGCTCATTCCGCCTCGTTCTTCCCTTGTTTATTTTAGCTTCTTATTCTCCTGCTCCAACTCCTCCGGCTGCTGTTCACCATCTCCTGCGACTCTCTCCTCACCCTTGCCTGACACGCTCGACAACTTCTCCAGCTCGCGGTCCCGGTTTACTTCGCATGGTGCCCAGGAGCAACTTCGCTTGAGACACATAGGCAGGCATTGACACATGGTGCTGGAGGTGTGGTCGTCTTGATGTCTCGATGTCGCGGCCAGACTGGTAGAGCGCCGATCCGATACGGACACTGCTCGAGACGATCACGAAAACGGGAACTCGAATGCTGAAGTGTGACAGGTACTATGTGGACGCGGCGGCCCACATCGCACTGGCAAGAATACAAGCGCACGCGAGCCTGAAGGATTTCTCATTCGAGGTCATCTGGCTTCGCTGTGGAGGCCCGAAATGGGTACATACGGAAGAAATGGGCCGTTGATGGGCAGGCGGCCTTCTGTCTCAAACAGGCATCGTCCGCGTCGACACCGACAGCGAGCCCTGTTCAAAATGAACAGGGAGTGCTGTCGGTCTCTGTATACCCACTCTTTCCGTAGCCACTTTGATCGTCCCGATTCGCACTCTACGCTCAGCGACGCGCGGCGCGCGGCAATCTGCACGCCCTCGCGCCGGCGCCGCCCCGGAGAAATGCGCCTCTCCCGCCCGGACCGCGCTGCGCGGAGCGTGAAGCGACGTAGCTCAATGCGGGGGGCGTAGCTCAATGCGGGGGAGCGATGAGGGAACTGACTCAGGTGGGGAACATTTACACAGGGGCCCCGGGACACACAAATAAATACACACAACTAACCGAATTCCCCATATTTTCGCATATTTCCTGGGTTTCTGTCTTCCCCACCTCTTCCCATATGTTTCCACATTTTCCTCGGAATCGAGGATTAATTGTCTGTGTGTTTTTTCCCCTCCTGAATTTACCCAGGCTCAGCGATACAAGCCGCACGTTCTCAGGCAGGGTGGTGGGCCACCCATGCCCCGATCGGGGATGAACCAGCGATTGGGGGTCGATGTCTGCCCCCTGGGCCCATCACCCACTTCCTGCTGCGCCTGCGTACAGTCGAGGCGTTGACCTAAGGAACGCTAAATAAGGAACGGGGCCCCTTTCTCCCATAAGTTGAACTTCGATTTCCCATGGAACCATCAAGGAACACCGAGCCCCTCCCCAACGAAAAGGGTTCCTTCTTCAGGGCCCCGACTGTAGCCCATGCGGTGGGACAGAAACTGCAGTCGGGGGAAGACAGAACTCCACCTCGCAGACCACCCTCTACGCAGAGAGGACGGCCCGGGACCAGACCTGGCGGGCGCAGGCCCGCAAAAATTGCGGCCGCGATACTGTGAGCGCGTGGTCCCACACACAGAGACTTCGCCCCCCCCCACCCCCCCCGCCCCTTCTCTGTATAGTGAGAAGGTGGGAGTGCGGGCAGGAGGATCCTTTCCCGTCCTCCCCCTTATTGTTCCTCCCTCCCTCCTCCTCCTCTTCCTCCTCCTCCTCCACATTCTCCCTCCGCACTTCTCTTTCCTCCTCCTCCCTCCTCCTCCGCCCTCCCAGGACGACTCGCCAATCGACCTGGCGGGGTGAGGGCTCGGGCAACAGGAGAAGACCGACGGGGCACCAACAAAAATCGGGTCGGGCGGAAGGGGGGGATAGCAAAGGGGGGGGGTTGAGAATCAGCTCATGTAGCTGATTTTCCCGGCGCCTCCCGGCGCTGGAGGCGGCTATGTATCGAGGAATGGGCCCCTCGGTGGGGCCGAAACCAGCTGCATGCAGCAAATTTCGTAACCCCCCCTTTCCCAATCCCCCGCTTTCGTCCGGCCCGAAAAAACGGCGCCAGCATAAAAATGGCGAGCCCGCGCGGTTTCCTTGGCTCTGCGCCGGCGCCCCCCCCCCCCGGCGCGCGGCGCCCGCCAGGGAGGCACGAGCGCTCGACTGCACGCAGAAGAAAGACCCTGGGCGAGATTGACGCCTGGCGCGCGGCTCTCGGAGGCCGCGGGGCGGCCAGCACCTGGCGCGCAGGACGCTGCTACAGTCATCGGCCTGACCTAAGGAACGATGAATAAGGAACGAAGCCCCTTATTTCCAAGGAATAACGCATAGGGAACGATACATAAAGCATTCGAACCTAAGGAACGACCGAGCCCCTTTTGACTAGTAAGTGTTCCTTATTCAGGCCGCTCGCTGTATCGCATCGCGTTCAGTCTTCTAGGAACCCCGTGTGCCCGCAGCAAAGGCCACTCTGGCGAAAGGTCACTCTCACGTGTAGCCGAGTTCTATCAGCCTCGGATGCAGGCCACGCTCGGCGGATCGGCAACGCACCAGAGCACTCCGGCGGGCGTCCTTCCTCTGAGCAGGCCCCCCCGGGCCACCGGCTGCCCGATGCCAGCCTCGACCTCTCCCAGCAGAGACTCGCAGTCGTTCGCGCAGCACACGAGGTAGTGCGAGGTGGAGACGATGCAGTTGGAGGCGGCCTGGATGTAGTTGGCAATGATGACCTGCTCTTAGGGGAGCAAAGAGCTGCGTGAACACAAACTTTCGGAACTCCGCACGGACTGCTTGGGTCGGCGATGGGCCCGCCTCCCTGGCGCGCGGAATGCGCCGGGGGCAGCGCAGGAGGCGCCGCCAGGGAGCTCCAGCGCCGATCCAAAGGATCCGCACGGACATCCGACGACTTATGCTTATGCAAATTGGAAAAAACGGCCACGACGGCGGCGACTCTTCACCCTGGCCCTGCGGGAGAGTCTCCACGTTCCGTGCCCCCTCAGCCCTCGCCTTCTTTCGCAGGCCCTCGATGCCGGCCCGCCTCGTCTTCTGTCATACAAGCTCGAGAGAGGCATTGTTCGGCGGCGCGCCGAGGAGAGAAATGAGAGGGGGGAAGGCGGCAAGGCTTTTGAGAAGCCCTCCGGCCTTCTGAGAAGCCGCCTATGTCTTCGGAAAAGGTTTGGAAAGCTTCTCAGAGAAGGCTAGAGGTCTTCTGAGACTTCTGAGATGGCCTTACTCCTCCGCCTTCCCCCAAGTGGCGCCCGCGGAGAATTGAAGAATTGGATTCTTCCCGATACGCCGCCCACCCGCCCAAAAGCTTTCTATCCAAAACATGTATCATGCAAACACGTGTGAACACCAGAGCCCCGTTACCCGTGCCTGCTCCCGTTCTTGTCGCACGACCCCTGTCATCATCACAATCATCATCAGCAGCAGCAGCATCATCAGATTCAGCATCAGCATCAGCATCAGCATCAGCATCATCATCATCATCAGCATCATCATCATCATCAAAATAATAATAATAACAATAATAATAATAATCATCATCATCATCATCATCATCAGCATCATCATCATCATCATCATCATCATCATCATCATCATCATCATCATCATCATCATGATTACTATCATCATCATCACCATCATCATCATCATGACCAACATCATCATAATCATCATCATCACCGTCATCGTAATCGACATCGTCGTCAGCATCATCATTAACTTATAAGCATCATCACCAGCAGCATCATCTTTACTAACATTATCATCATAAGCATCATCAAAGTCATCAGCATCCTCGCCATCATCATCATCAGCAGCAGCATCAGCAGCATCATCAGCATCAGCATCAGCATCATCATCAGCATCATCATCATCATCACCATCACCATCATCATCATCATCATCACCACCATCACCGTCATCATCATCATCGTCATCATCATCATATTCATCATCATCATCATCATCATCATCATCATCATCATCGTCTCCATCATCATCATCATCATCATCATCAGCATCAGCATCATCATCATCATCATCACCATCACCATCACCATCACCATCATCAGCATCATCATCATCACCACCACCACCATCATCATCATCACCATCACCATCATCATCATCATCGCCATCATCGCCATCATATCACATAATGGTATGATCGTACGCCTCCTTCTCAGCATTGCCATCAGCATCCTATCCCCATCTGCCCACGCTTCCGCCTCCTTCCCCTCCTCCTCATGCTCCCCCATCATCGTCTCTAGTCGTCCTTCGATTATTCAACATTACCATCATTGCATCAGCCCTCCTCCCCCGTTGCCCAGCATCAATAACCGCATGCCGATGATAATAAAGGGACCCCCCCCCTTCAGTGTTTAGAGTTGATTATCGTCGCCCTATACAAAATTCAAATTGGGCGGCGAGCGCTGAGGCCGAACTTCATTATCACCTCGAAACGCTATGTTGAGATAGCAACATCAAGCGATGTTGATATAGCAACATCAAGCGAAACGATCACACTTATCTCGCATTTTATCCGTATTTTATATTTGTATCTATCCCCGCGCGCGCCTGAACTTTTTTATCCCTGGGGTTGATTATCCATGGAAACTGAAGCACATGAGCTACCCTACATGAGCACTTAAAAAAATCGATTTTTATAAAGCGTTTGTAAATTAAAATTGATAGATTTGGAATTTTGAATTTTTCCTTTCTTCTTCTCTTCTTCTTCTTCTTCTCCTCTTCTTCTTCTCTCCTTATTATTCTTCTACTCTTCTCTTCTTCTTTTATATTTCTATCTGTCCCCACGCTCGCCTGAACTTGATTATCCCTGGGGTTGATTATCCATGGGGTTGATGTCTCAAGCGAAATAAGCAATAGTTTGACTGTGTCTCAAGCGAAATAAGCAATAGTTTGCGGATGTCTCAAGCGAAACAAGGGATTTGTCGAGGATGTCTCCAGCGAGATAAGCCATTGTTGAGGATATTTCTATGAAAACTAAACGCCAAGGATGTCTCAAAACGTGCTCGGCTTGGTCTCCTCTTGATCATCTCTTACTTCGAGATTATGCTGTGGTCTGCTGGGCTACTTTTATTATCTCTCCCTGAACCCCGAACTTTATTATCCCCTAGTGTTTATTCTCACGGGCATGAGGTTATCTCGTCTCCATCGCCATCACCATCACAAACACCGGCACCACAGCCATCATCGCAGGCATCGCCATCGTCACCATCAGCGTCGTCATCATCATATCCTCGAATGCTGCGCTCACAATCTCTGTATGATGGGAGTCGGCGGTGTCGTATAGAAGTGGGAGGAGAAGAGGAAATGAGGAGACGAACTGTTGAGGAGGGTGGAGGAGGAAAAGAGAGTGACAGGGATCCTTGTCATGAGGCGCAGGTGGGAGCAGGAGGAAGGATATAGGTGATGGTGGAGAGGAGGATTTGCTGTCGTGGAAGACGGAGCGAAGATGGTGGAAGGACGACGACGATCAAAGCTGGGCCGGAGGTCCCACCCAACCTTCTCTCCAGAGCTCCCGCTGGTGAAACCGAAAGGTACCAATACCGCTACTCTCCAGACCTCTTCCGGGCTGCGCTCTGGCCAAAACTTCGAGGCGAATCGGCAGTGGCGACGAGGGCCTCCCAGGAGGCCCGAGAGAGGCGAGACCGAGGCAGGGGCAGCGGTAGCGGTACCCTGTCCTCCAGAGGCCTGCAAAGCCTCCTCTGGCCTCCACTGTTCCCACATCTTGGCAGCGCGC